ATTCCGAGGACGACAGAGCAAATGGGATCTGAACGTGACCGAAGACCAGCCCACGTGCACAGGGGTAAGACAAACTCTAAAGTGACCACCAAACGTCCGATGGCCACATAAACAAAGCATTACATATCCTATAAAGGCAAGCTTAAACACACTAGTATATATTGCAACTATTTGTTACTTTTTTACAGTTCATCTATTGGTGACCGAACGTAAAGCGGCTGAAATACGCATGAGCCTCTCTGTGTGATTTAGAGGCGAATAATTGGTTTTGAATCTGTGTTTTAAAAGAATAATTGTGGCTCTACACCAAGTATAAGCCTTTTCCTACCGTACTCTACCTCTCACATTGCTTACCCTTACGTCTGGTAGCCTCACTTTCACGGGTCCTTCATTTGGAAGAATAAAGTATTAAGCATAGCTGAAAATAAGGGATCAAATTCAAAGGGCAGAAGTCAATCTTCGGCTTTGCCCGAGGGCCAGCCTACGCGCACAAGAACAAGAACAAAATCAAAATTTATCTCCACTTTTACAAGCAGCCATAAAGACGGTTTCACAAATAATATTCTCCGGGTAAGGTAGGCTCACAATAGTTAGTCTAAGGGGTGTTCAGTGGTAGTGGCGCTAAAAATACAGTGATTTGCAAGAAGTTTAGGCAAAATATAACAGATGGTTATACTAATTTATTTATGTGGCCTCTTAATATATGTGGTGACTTCTGTGGGCATTTGGTTTTACCTTTGTACGCGTGAGCTGGCCTTCCGACCACATGAAGACTCTACACCTTCCTCGTCTCCTATAATACAGTATTCTGTTCAACACAATGTATTCTACTTGGTTGGAAGTCTTAGAGAGACTTGGGACTTTAATATGGACCAAGTCTATCTCACTCTAATAGTCCACGTGGCATTTTAAGTAATCGCAATCAATAAAGGCAAACAAACTATTACAGATTCCATATGCGTGCTGATGCTGCCCAAAAATTGCTAATGTGGATGCCTGTATGACTGGTATTTATCTTGCTCCCGGCTGCATAAACGTCAACTCGGGCCAATTCAGAACCTAATCCCTTCGCCTCCAAGGTAACAGGTAGTCAAAATAGTTAGGAGTTTTAGGACGTTACAGCTGCTACTCAACTCCAAAGCAGAATAAAATCTGCCCCAAGCGGGATTTTGAATCGCGCGTAAATACACTTAGAACACCTGATTTATTTATACAATATCCAACGAATAGAGAATATTTGGAGAGCGAAGCAATCGCTATTTGCGTTTTCATTGATGCAAATTATGACTTAGACGTCAGACACCTCTGAGTCATTGACGCAGAGCGTAAGTGCAAACAGTGGGAGAATTAAGTGTAGCACTTTATACACTTGCCTGTATAAGCGTCTGTCACTTTTTAGTCATACCATTTCCGCCGGGTTCGCTAACCTCTGATACGCCACAGTAAGCATTCAATAAGTGATTCTCTAGTTTGATGAAGCGATTGGGGAGTTTGACATTCCTAGAGAGACAACACACTAGTGAGTGGTTATTACCATTTAAATAACTGTAGCTGAAACTGACACTTAAGCCATAATTATGTATTAAGACAACTTACTAGTCTTTTCCTAGGTAATAAGAACTCCAATGCTGCGAAGAGGGAATACTCGAACTGCAACTGGCGGAACCAAGTTATTTATACTGTCGCTGTAGACTTCAGATCAAGCCTGACCCAAATCTTTATAATTTTCTTATTAAAAGCATAAATTTGACCCGGCTTGATCCTATCTCCTACCTAATGGGGAGACTCAGGATGCTGCAGCAACCCCATAAGGTAACTCCAAAGACGAAAGAAGGAGGTCTTGGTCATAGTGGCATAGAATGAAAGTGAGCCTATTGAGATGCTACAATAATAAAACACTTTGGTGTCTCCATTACTGACCGCCTAGCGCCCTGAAACTTCCCACCGGGTATAAGAAGCAGTGCGTGGAGCTGGATACATGTATTCCCAGGGGGACAAAGTACTAAGGTCTGAGTATCATCCGAAGGACCAGACAAATCTTAAAGCGTCTGCCAAATGTTAGGTGATCACGCTAGGTTGATAGTATCTAATAAACTAAATTGCTTCATTTTAACCTAGTTCCTAAATCCTGAATAATTAGAGACGGAGTAGTCTCTTTTGAGTAAGTATAAGCTTAGGTGTGACGGTGCTTAAATATTATCATCATTTCTATATTCAGATACCTTAGCTTTGCGTGACTAGGACAAGTAGTGTTCAAGGTGATTTGCCGATGTTTGACTTCGCAGTTCGTTATGTGGTAGTGTGCAACTTTGTCCCTTTTCCTCGATTATTTTATTGTGGTTTTCGTAAATAGGTGTCTATTTGACCGTCAAACTCTTCAAAAATCTGCACAAATAACTTTGCTTTAGCCATGATCTTCTGTTTCTTTGTGGTTTTAATGCGTATTGCAATTTATTTAAATGTTTTTTGAGTAAACCCGGAACGTTCGTTGCACAAATGCTGCTCGCCCACGTCATAACACTTAATTTATTCACTTTTGGTCGGGTGCTATCTGTCGTAAACTGAACAATAGCCATTGCGGTGTGAGCTTTTAATGTCTAAAAGCATGTTTCCAGAGGCTACTTCAATTGCTGTGACATTTACTTAGAAGTTACTTCAACATTGCAGGATATCTCTTGCACTTGGTTTCCTTCCTGATAGTGTATCTTTTGTTTGGTGGAAATGCAAAACTACAAAACTTGAGTGGACATTTTGTGGGCGAAACTATTTTGCAACTTACTACTCATCATATACCAATTCTTACCAAATTATTGTCACCTGTGTTACTAATGCTAAACTAGATGTCTCAATATATTGCCTGTTTCGATACATCTTTGAGCTCCCCAGATAGTCCTTATTTTCATTTTTTAGAAAAACTGGTAGACTCCAAGGAATGATAAAAACGAATCCACTGGAATCATGTAAGTCACTTTGGTTTTTCTCTAGTCTTTGCAGAATTTGGTGTTTAGGATAATCGTTTGGTTGTTTTAAGCCAGACCCAGTTTGTATTTCTGTTGTCTCCTCTGGAATCGGTAACTATCTAGTTCCAACAAGTTTTGGGGCAGACTTTTAACCCAATTCTAATTCTTTCACCTCCAGCTCCGCCCTCTACGTCCTCCTCATCGGTTGGCTCCGACATAGAGACGGGAATGGCGCGTGTGCCTCCCACGCCTCCACGTCGCACTCTGTTAGAACTTAGCTCTCCTGAGCCCATTCCTTCCGCGCTAGTACCACTGGAACGCCTTTCTCTCGACCATGCTCCGCCTTCCGAGTCAGAGGTTGAGGAGTCAGAGACGGAAAAACCACACGCCGCCACCGTCTGTGAGGGGTGTCGGCGGTTGGAGGAAAGATTACAGAGCCTCCAGATGGAACATACGGTAAGTTGAGATCGTCCTTATTGCCATTGCTACTGAGGTGGGAGTGGGTGACGACGGTGGAAATTTGTTACCACTAATACATGTGAATTAGATTTACATGGGTATGAAAGGAAGGATTTAAAAGTTAAGCTTGGAGTCATAGACGTTGAAATTGATTGTTCCGGGTTAAATTTACCGGAAAATGCCGGCATCAAATATGAAAACTAAGTCTTCAAATTCTTTCCTGGATTCGATAAAGGGGCAGTGGTCAGTGTCGAAGAGATTCAAGCTACTGTATGCATAATCATTGTCTTCCTGTTGAACCGCGGTCGTGACGATGAGAGGCTGAAACATGCAAAAAAATTAGGTGCAGCTCAGTTATGAGAGTTGGTTATAACAATGATATTTTTGTATGAAATCTGATCTGCAGCGTCATTTCCATCATAAGCGCAGAAGTGTGCTTTTTGAGAGGTGTAGGTGTCTCTCGGGATTGTGAATGTAAGAGCGAGTATGTGGGGAATTGTGGACATCCATGCTACAATACTTTTAGTTGAGGTTATTTTAGACGGAGGAAAGAAATACACCTGGTT